ATTATTAATGTGTTACCAAGGTCTTAATCACAACGTACAGTACAGAAAGTTCTTGTACTTACATTAAGATTACATTTCTGAGTTTAAAGGCTTCATAGGCGAACAAGGTTAAAAACACGAGGTGGAAAGAAAAACTGTTCAAAGCCTCCATCTGCCAACTCCACGCATGAGTTGTTTTATCTCGTTTTTTCAGCCGCCTGAAGTAATCACAGAGCATTCTTTACAGAGATCAGAGGGTTGTTTCTAGTATTCAGTTCTGTTTTAATGACTGAGATACTGTGTTTGTGAAAGGAAAATATTGTTGGAGGGGATTCGATAAAGCAGTCTGGCTCAAACGCAATTCATCCTCATGTAATATGAAGGCAGGGATTTAGAGGAGACGACACATGGGAGCGTCTGACGTACAAACAAAAACACACAGTCTCACAGTCAAAACTGATTTTTGGGAGAATTGATTTTTTTTCCAGCTGTTTAGGGAAAGTAGTTTGACATAAAAACTTGACTATGTGACCCATAAAGCATTGGAAAGATATGTCAGTGTTCACAGGCATGCATGACTTTTCCTTGAGCTGTTTTTCCTTGAAAGCTTCCCTACAGCTCTGAAAACAGTATTTCACAAATTCCACGAGCGCTTTCCTGTGGTATTATTCAAATGCCACTTTACAGCTCATCATCGCTGCCTGTTTTCGTAAGCTGACAGTGTGAGAAGAGATTCACTTCACGCATATCTTGGTAATTAAAAATGTCCTCTGCACGACTGCTCCTCTGTGTGCGCTGGAGGAAGACAGTCTCTTTAGGCTTTATGAGGAATGTTATCAGACAGAATCCCCGCAGCAACCGTGAGATAAATCTCGAGAAGTGAGACAGCCGTGATCATGCAGGCATGAAGACGACACATCAGAGGAGAGGCTTTTTATGCAAATGTTCACCTTTCCTTTCACGGCACTGTGCTAATGAGCCCTCAGATGAAGGGAAATCTGAAAGAAAGATGAAAATAGACGTGATATAATTCACAGTCATGTGTTGATATCGTGGAAATAAGTCATCTGGTAAGGCAAATAGAAGCGTTCTTCTTTCTTTACTTCTATGGACGTCAGTTTCACTATCAGCAGCCGCAGGTCATTCTAAAACAAACAAGGACTTCTAAGGAAGTTCACATTATGTTTCGTCCCCTTAATGCTGCTCTCTTGTTGTCTTGTTTTCCATTCTCTCTCTGTCTCGGAGCAGACAAACTATGCTCCACCTCCTCACTCTGTCCTCCCTATCACTCCACTGGAGACACTTGTTTTCAGATTTTATGCGGCAGATGGTGACAGATAAAATGGGAAAGAGACAGAATAACAAGCAGTAAAGGTCACGGGCGTGATTGTGTTCTGTGTTGAAGGCAGCATGCAGGGGATCTTATAAGACTGCAAAATAGTACACTAGTCTGCACACATATGCACATGTGTCATATGTATTGATGTGATGTATTTTCCATCTTTGCATGAATTATCATGTTATCATTTTCCATTTATACCCCCTGATCGGTTAGTCTGTGCCACCTATATGACAAATAATACCGTCCCTCGGTGGGATGTCATTTCTGCTTGAACGTAATTTCAAACTTTAAAATAAACTGTTGACTTATATATTCTAAGATTTATCTTGGGTTTTTAAATGACTTTTTTGTAGAGATAGGACAGTGGATAGAGTCAGATATCAGGGACAGAGAGAGTGGGGGATGACATGCGGGAAAGGAGCCAGAACACCCACTTTGAGGACTGCAGCCTCTGTACATGAGGTGCACGCCCTAACCACTCGGCCACCTACGGCCCAGACTAAAAACAGGTTGAGAAACAATTGAAATAGTTGTTGGGCTGTAGAGCAGAACACATGTATCTTTTCACGTTGCATGTTCTGTCCTTCAGAAATACGGTGGGGAAAAAAACAAAAATTGCTAGACAAGACGTTTCATTTTGTGGTTGTTTTGGCGACGTCAGTATAGACAAAGCAGTATATCTTATGTCATTGCTGATCCTGTCCTGTAACAGCATGAGTATCACCCTGCTTTATGTTAAAGGTCAAAGTCTTTGGATAGAAAATACAAATAAAGGCTGTTTTTTGCAGTAAGCTTTAAATCACTTCATCTCTCTATTTCCCCGCTGATGGTCTTTTTTACAGGTCACAGAGACTTCAGTATAAATCTCAGTTAGTCTCATATCCAGCTGAAAACTTCGAACAGGAGCTCTAGATACACATTTGGAAGAAAATGCCAGTTTTTAGAGAAAGTAATATTTGAGATCTTTTGACAGGGCGGTGGATTTATTTCAGACTACAAATTGGGTAACACTTGACTAGCGGATACTCAGTCATTGAATCAATTTATTTTGTATAGCGACAGTTCATAGCTAATGTTATCTTAAGACACTTCACATCCATCATTGGATGCATTGGAGCAAACCACTTGGCATCATTTGGCAAGGAAGAACGTCCTTTGTAGAAACCTTGAGCAGAACCCGACTCAAACAAACGTCACCTTTCAATCATCTAATTCCTCCCAATAACTGTCGCTGGATTCAAATGAATAAACTTTACAAAGCTGCAGGTGAACGTGTGATTATGGGTCTTTATACAAAAAGAATCTTTTTCAGTCAACGTAGACATCATTGTTTTATCCTTCCGCCTTAGGCCCAGTGAGGCTACCAGAGCTCCCACGCTGCCTCATTGTTATTTACGAAATCCGTCTGATACAGTGTTATCCGGTCTCTCTTACTTCATCTCCCCCCCCCCACCCTCCCCCGAAGATGCCTCTGGACCTCTTCTACACTCATTTGTCACCTCAAGATGAGTTGATCTGAGCGATGCCGGGCTGAGTTAGAGGGAATAGTGGAGGAGGGGGAGGAGGAGGAGGAGGAGGAGGGAGGTGCTCGGTGCTCCCCTCTCTGCCAGAGATTCCCCATGCTTTGCTAATGGCACATCAGCAGCTGTCAGTGGGCCCTGCACTGCGTCAGCTACTTTAATTGGCTGCATGTCCGTGGTCTGCAAAGCGCTCAGCAGAATTGAGTCAACCCCCCAAACCCACCCCCCTTCCAGTCTTTTTCTATATCATTAGTGTAATGCTCCCGTTTCCCCCGAGCCGCTGAGATATGGGGAGATTCCAACAAGGAGGGGAGGAGGAGGAGGAAGAGGAGGAGAGGAATGAGTCACGCGTCAGCAACCACCTTTTATTTTTTGCAGTTTGCGTAGGAAGATAAGGTCGCAGAAAAATATTGTTTTATTTTGTTTCTTGAAAAACAGCCCCCGCTGCTATTTTTAAGACGGAACCATGAAAATGGTATTGATTTCCTTTTGTAAACTAAAGAAAGCTAATAACTGCATGCTGCCACAGTAAATATCCAATCAGAGAGTTAACCCAGAGGCCTTGTACTGAAAGCTGTGACTCTGAGCAGGTCTAAGGAAGTGATTATATTCAGTGTTTTTCACATTACAAAATAATATGTGTAGTACATCTCATCTGGGCTTTGTAACTGTAGACAGTTGAATTATAATCGTTGAATTTTTCTTTTTGCAAAGATACTGTAGGCCACAGAATCCAAAGTGTGTTTTTCACAGTCCTTGCTGTTAAATCACAGTTCATGTTGTAAGACAATCCAACACTTAAGACGATAAAGTGACTCTTAAACAGGTGGTATGTTACTGACGGGGTGTACTTATCAGAAAAACAGCAACACTTAAATGACAGCACCACTGACAGACCATCTGCTGTGGTTATGTGAATGACTTTTGTCTTTGAGGTAAAGGTGAAGCTGGTCGAGGTAAAGGTGGAAGTAGCGTGATGTCCCAGCACAACCAAAGCCTTTTTAAAGAAGTAAGTTGTGGTAAATGATGAGTTTAAAAACCGTCAGGCTCTGACACAAAAACATGATACTCACCCTGTGTATAACAAATATAAGTTACTTTCTTTACGTCTCTTTACTGTTTTTTTTTTGCTACACCTGCTACAGCTTTGAAGAAAATGAAATGAAGCTTGAGGGAACTGTGTGAACTTGCCTCAAGTGATGTCACCTGAGTCAGACTTAAGGTTTGTGCTTTGGTTTGAAAAATTAAAAAAAAAAAAATTGTGTTGATAATCAAAATCGACTATTGTATCCCTGGTACTCATGCTTGCTTGAAAGTTAAACATTTAAGGATAGATTACCAGCATAATATAAATGATTCTAGGACCAGTGAGTTGCATTGTGGGTAAAGCAGGTACCAGGTATTGAGGAGGAGGAAGAATGCTTGAATGCAAAGGATGCATATTAAGTCTATCTTCATCAGTTTTTATTGCATGAAGCAACCGTGAGGTATTTCGTGTTGTATTTGGCTCCCCCTGGAGACAAACTAGAACCTCTTAAATTTGTCAGATTTTGCCCTGTACAGGTGGAGGTAGTTTTTTTTGTCGTCCTGCATTTTGGACTTTTTAACAGTCCAACGAATCTCTTGTTGTGCATAATTACTGTGGAAAATGTGAAAACCAATGATGTCTCTGACGTGCTGTTAACTTTCTTATCTGACATCTACCCCCTTGCAGTGGTTACAGGCATTCAAATTTAGAATATAGAAATAATCAATCTTATCGCAGATGGTGTCATTTGCTTCTATAGGTCATAAAAAGGGATCTCAATTCATTCCAATCAGTTTCATGGCCAGGCAAAACTCCGCACAGGGGCTTTAGTCTGATTATGTAATGAAGTGTAATGTCCTGGCATGGTTTTGATGCAAAATTGCTGGAGCACTCTTTTAATTCTATTTCCAACATCTCTGATTGATGCGTGTTCCTCTCTACTTTAAGAAGTGCCTGTCAGAGTTTTTTTTAGTTGGTATGAAAACCTGCAGAGCTGGCTCTTTATGTGAAGTTTGCTCTAAGACTGGCAACATCTTTGTGTGTCCGATTTTTCTCTTTCATGTTCTCTGACGTAGAGAGACAGAAGCAGAAAGAAGCCACTTAAACAGATCATTGTTTTCCTTTTCTTCAGGCTGGCTGCATCACCATGTCCTCGGCTCAAAGTGGGGATATACCAGGATACCATCTGAGTGGTGAGTGGACAAGAATATTCCTGATCTGATGTTTTTTTTTCTGCATGGGTTTCCTTGTTTGAATGAATGCTTGACAGCTGTGATTTAACCACTTTGTTGTAAATGTTTGTGACGATGTGAGTCAAACCAGGCTGTTTGTAGATTTTCATTGAGTGATGTACGTTTTTGTGTCCGTTCTCAGGTTTCCTTTGACAGCTTTAGACACCTTTATACACAAGCTTTACAACATCTACGCCTCATTCTGCTGCTGACGGCCATCAGTGTAACAAAAAAAAAAAACACCTGCCCTTTAATTGGCTTATTTCTTGTGTTAAAAAAAAAGCAGCGATAAAACTGTCAATATCCTTCCTCGGATGCAATTCATCTTCAGAAAGCCAGCTGGACTCAGGCTTGTAATCCTTCTCTGACATTTTATTCCAAGTGGCATTTCAATTTCAATTTGACAGTCACGTATTGCCAGAGTGTGTCCCTAACTATTATCTGATTCATATCAAACTTAATGCATCACACAGTCTCCTAAAGCCGTCTCAGTGCTCAGCATTAAATGACAAGGCCTGAATCTGTGGCTCAGTGAAAAAAACTCCTTCTGGTCTCTCTGTTCTTCTTCCACCCGTGATCAAACTCATCAGACATACAACACGGACTGTTATGAGGCCAGACTTTATGCTACCTTTGATGAACTGGAACTTTAGATGGATTTAAGCACCTTTCATTTCTTGGGTTTCTGTCTCAGTGGTGCGTAACCCGCCCGGCTGGGAGGTTGGGATCTACCTGGTTGGCTTCTTTGTCCTGCTCGGCGTGGCCGGGCTCAACATCTGGAAGTTGTGGAAATCTGGAACCTTCCCTGCACCGTCCCCCTTCCCCAACTTTGACTATCGATATCTTCAAGAAAAATATGGAAACTCCTTCTCAGAAGTCAGACAAAAGGTAAAAAAAAAAATTGTACCATACATTACTCACTGACTTTTAAGTTGCAAAAAGTTTGGTATGGTACAAACATTTTTTGGTTCATTAAAATGTTTTCGACCTCATGCCTGTGTCCTCCCCTAAGCGAGTGGCTGCCAACAACCACCGGCGGACCTCCACCACATCCAGCCGCAAACCCAGCCTGGCTCTGGGCGACACCCCAGACGGTTTCAGGGACCTGGGTCACCTGGAGCTGATGAGCAGGGAGCTGGATCCGACCGGCATGGCCCAGATCAACCGGTCCATGTCCACCGACTCACTCAGCTCCATCTCCTCCATCGCCAACAACTTTGGCCATGACGTCACGGTCGGCCAGCTGGAGGTGACGCTCGAGTTTGAGCCGTCCAGGCAGCCGGGCCAGGGGACGGGACTGCTCCACATCTCTCTGCACCAGGGCAAAGACCTGCTGGAGAGGGAGGAGGGGGACTTCCCCGGCTGCTTCATCAGAGTCTCCCTGGGGCCAGAGGAGCTCAATGTGGGAGTCACAAGGGTAAGGAACCTGGAACCTGGAACCTTAAGACAATTTTTACACCATTATAACCCCACCAGATTTTCTATTTTTACTTATTGTTATATTTAGATGTAAAAGACAGTTCACTCATTTGTTACTTCTTAATCTTGAGTTCAATCACCTCATAATTGACTAGCTTCTCTGGAACTTTCAGTCACATCTCATGGACTGATGATAAGGATTGTAGACTGCTTGTTCAGATGCCAAACCTTTTGAGTTGCTGGTTGTCACATTATAGCGAGAAAGTTCTGGGTTTGAACCTTTAGTTAAAATTCACCCAGGGCCTTTTTGGGGTTTCTATGTACTTAAGCTTCTTCAGTGGATAAGACAGGCAAAGGGTTTAAATGGTGACTATAAGTTGAGGATGTACCTCATCTTTCACCCAATGTCAGCTGGAATTTTTCCGCAATAGGGGTGTTGCACCTGGTGGACAACGCTGTGTTTCTGTAAATGGTAAAGTTATTAGTATTGGGTTACGGGTGAGTTATGGATTGGATGTGGAGTTCACTTGTTTCATTATTACAAGTAGGTAAGTGCCCTGTTTACTTGATCCGTGCATGTTGCAGGAGGACACAGATGGTGACACGATGCAGATTCTTACCAACTGTGTCCAATGTTCCTCTTATATACAGTTGGTGGAAACACACCAGTTAATGCAGCAATGCACAAGGAAATGTTGTAAAAGAAGGCTAATAGCAACTAAACATAGCAGTAATAAAATTCATGTCATCAAATATGGAAACATTGAGTAAAAACAGATCATGCAGATTTGAATTATTTGGTTTTAGAGACTGATTCCAGTGTGCAACCATACTCATAGTTATTGTTAATTTACCGTGAATACTTTTAAATACAATTAATAACCCAGGTTTTTATTTACTTCAATCTATGAAACTACTCCACTTTTATTTGGGAAAGGCGTCAATATTAGACAAGCCTTTCAATATTTTCAAACAAAACGTACACATTGTAGCATTATTCTATCTTTTCTGGATAGATGTTGAAGTTCAAATTTACTTTCTCTCCTTATTTATGATCCACAAGCTCTTTCAACACTCAATATTGTAGGGGCGTCTCATTGAGACCTGCTTTTGTTTGTCAAAACGTGCAGCAACACTTGGATAGAAAATGGGATCAGGCCTTAAGTTGGGATGGGCTTTTATTTGGAGTTTTACGGTAAAACAGAGTATCTTTATAGCCCTTCAAACATATGTTCCTTAAAGATGATCAGTTCCTCGTTAGCTGCCTTTATGGTATCAAAGAGGACGGAGGACTTTGAGTATAACTGCCACTAGACTAGTGAATATGTAGCAGAGATTTTAGTCTGAGGGAAAAAAAATGAAAGGCATATCCTCTCAGAAGGTAAATTAGCAGCTAAACTGTGATGACTCAACCTATGTGAAAGGCTGAACATAAAAGACTCTCCGATCCTTTTAAAGTTGCAGTTAGTCTGTAGCGTCTGAAGCTTTCCCGCTCAGGGGGCAGCTTTGGCTTGCTTGAACTGTGTTGAAGGTTTTAACCCTGGCTGAATTTTAGACAGAGACAGTGATACGTCCTCCGGGGTGATGGGTTTGATCCTGCAGCCTGACAGACCAATCCTTTCCTGTCAGTGAGGAGAGCCTGTTTCATTTGCTTGATTGTCGAGCCCTTTGAGAGCTGGCAGAAGTCAGGCAGGTGGATTTCACATCCTTCACGGTCATCAGGAGAGGATCTTACCGACTTCTCTCAGTGTGAAATCTAGTTTACCATGTATCCCTGCACTCTCGGTTACAATGATGATGATAAGTGGCATCGGGCATATCTTACAGTAAAGCGTACCGTGATGAGCAGTGATTACTTTACAGTTCACTTAGTTAAGTATGGATAATGATACTCTAGTCGAAAATATATCAAAGATGTGTTTGACATTTCAAACCATTACAGCCACCTACACTTCACACTATACTGCTTTATTTTGTCTCGGTATAAAATACTTCTGCAAATGAGTTAAGGGACATAATGAAACATACAGTTCTTGTAATGTAAAAAAAATGTAATGTTTTCCAGATAATTTTCTTCTCATTATTTGACTGTTTTTTTACTCTCATTTTTATGGATTAATACACTGAAAATGTTTTATATAACAAATCACAATATCAGATTTAACATGAATGATATACAGTTCCTGTTTACATATCCTATTTCTGATCAGAAAATGATACAATAAAAGGATGGAAGATAAAGGATAAAGATGAAATACAATCACTCCTTAAGACTGACTTATTTCTTCTCAATCTGCATTCGAATTTGAACATAACTTATTTGGTGCTTGTTTGTGTATTTTGCTCTTTGAATCTTTTGTTAAGGATTTTATTTAAGGTATTTTGAAACATGATCAATAATATTGAAGTAACTGTCTCATAACTGTGACGGACTTCAAACTATGAGATAAAAAAAAAAATACCCATCATAAAACACAAAGAAAACAATTTGACTTTCAGTTATGCATGATTTTATTGAGCATGAATGTGCTTTTCTTCTGTTAATTCCTCCCTTGAACAATTTCATAAAAAGCTTAAATGTAACGCGAAGGTGCTTTTTCTAACAGTAAAAGAAAAGTGTTTACATTCCTCCATCTGCTGCACCTGCCGCTCTCCTTCTGCTCCGAGCTCCACTGCCAGAACAAAAAAAAAAATCCTCTGATCCCTGCGTATGAGTCATCAGCACCGCTCCCCCTTGTGACTGTGGATTTGTACAGTTTGTTCAGGCGGACGAGGGATGACACTCAGACTCACCAGGGCTCCCCTCAATGGAGCATGTTGTATTAATGCATTCTGGGCTGTAATAATAATGGAGGCAGCCCCTTTATTGACTTCCTCTTTAATGTCAAGTAGTGGTGAGGACCAGAGCAAATGCTGACATCAGCTCCACTCACCCTGGCTTCTCTCTCTCTCTCTCTCTCTTTTTTTATTTTTTGCTTGCTGTCGCTCATTTTCTTACCTAGTATTTCTCTGTTGTTGCTGCATTTTTGCTCGTCCATCACTCACTTTTTCTTCCCCTTTATTTCTTTTTCTCCTCACTGCTTCTGTTTTGCTTGTAATAATGTGTTTCACACCCCTCTATCATTCTCTCTCTCTCTCTCTCTCTCTGTCTACATGCCTCTCTCTCAGCCTTTATTGCCTCATTTTCACCACACACATCACCTTTGTTATCCCCCAAGCAATAATCCTGACAGTGCAGGCAGACGGTCTCACATAGAGGAAGTCTGTGAGTGCATGTCTGCGTGTTTTCTGGGCTCTGGATGCTTTATACCTCTCTGTCCATGTTGACACAGCAGCAGCAGGACCTTCTCTACATTCTGTAGGTGTAAGATGTGTGATTGTGACGCTGTTCTGTTGCATGATATGAGGCACGATCCAAGGTCGCATCTCAACTCTGCACTCTGGCTGAACAGTTATTTGTCACACAGGGAGCTGTTGAGTTCAGCTTCTCTCAAATACACCTCACGCTGACCCTGCACAACACATGCTGTTGTTTAAGTCTATGAAACTGTTTTTGCTATTGGTTTCAGAGATATCCCTCATTGTATTTCACACCTTAAGAACCAACGGTGGTGTGAAAAAAGGGATATTATTAAATCCCTTCTGTTCTGTTCATGAACGAGTTGCCTGGTTACTTCCCTCTGCTTTATCAAGCCTTGTGTTTCCACAGTCTCTGAAATCAGCCGTATAAGCCATGAAGAAAATGTTTGTTATTTGGTCTGTGGTCGCTGTGACTCTTCCTTTGATGGAGAGTAGTTGTGCTGTTTTCTGCTGGCCAGGCCAAACTGCCTTCAGTCAGTGTTTTTTTTCTTTTTAAAAGCTGTGTTGGCTGCCAAGAAAAGAATTTCAGAGTAATCTGAATCACTTTGAGGCTGGTCAGAGAGGATCACACTAAAATGTTGTTGCAGATCTTTTCTTTGGGTGTTTCATTTTTGAATGAAAACATTCAAAGAAAAAAACAATTGAAGGTGTGTTTTAGGGAAATTGAGTATACACTATCTATGTATGCTTTTATTGTAGTGTAGGTTTGCAATGATGCAGACATTAAACATTATTTTTCAAGCTTGGCGCAGATGACTGTTCATCATGAGCCTGGTTTTGCCCAAGATTTCTGCCCATAAATGGATTTTTTTTCTTGCCACTTAAAATGTTGCTTAGTGCTGTGCACATGATGGATCAACATTCTGGGTCTTCGTAATATAGCATTAAGTAAGGTTGTTTACCTGCTTTTTCTGTAATGTAACAATGAGTAAGGTATTTTACCTGCTCTTTTGTAATGTAACAATGAGTCAGGTATTTTACCTCCTCTTTTGTAATGTAACAATGAGTCAGGTCTCAAGTGTCTTGAGATAATGTTTTTTTAAGAATTGGTGCTATACAAATAAAGATTGATTGAAGAATCATACTTCCTCATTAAAATGAGGTATTTTTTATCTACAGAACATCTACTGTGCTGTGTTGTTGTAATTCCTGATTCACAATTGTCTCTATATTTTATTATAGCAGGAGGCAGAAATGTTTTACAGGAGTGAAACAAATCTCACACACCGAAAGTAGTGGAGAGTTTTTCCCCCTTTGAGAGAAGTTAGCTGATCTTATATAGAGGGACTGAAGCATGTGCCATGTCTGTACCCTTATGATAAGAGGGGCTCATAGACTGTTGATATTAATGAAAGAAGCCTGAGTGACGTCACCCGTCTGTTACTGCGGGGGGGTTTTGAAGCCTCTTGGTGGCAGTCCCTATGCTGGAAATGCTATCTTTACAAAACTTTCAGTAAACCTTTTTAAACAGGCTAAGAGCTGGAGCTGAGTTTTAAGCCCCTTGACAAACCGCTTCATCGTGCCCATGTGTAACTGCATTTTTTTGCACTTCTGCATTTTTTTTTTTAACACCGGGGTTTGCCGCTTGGAGGAGACCCTGGAACTTTCTACACAGGGCGGGTGTTGTCAGCTACACCCTGTTGCGCTCTGACGTGTTAACATGACCAGGCAAAACTGAACTTAGTAAACCAGTGCAGTCTGATGTCTCATCACGACTAAGCAAAGATGAACTAAACTAAATCCACTCAACAATGCATATACATTCATCAGAACACAATATTGCTTTGACATATTATGCAACGCCATGAATAAACATGGTGTCAAAACTTCTGTATAACACTTATGATAAACTGACACAACATGCTGCACCTCCATGTAGCCGCTTTCTTCCATAGAGCTTGGACTCTGAGGTTTCAGGGAGCTGTTGTCAGTTGGTTGCAAATTTGCAGCTTAACTGCTCGATGTCAATATACTGTTAGTAGTAGTAATAGTTATTGGGATTATACTTTGTTGTCTTAACACAAAAATAAAAAGTAGACACAGAAACAAAGCCCGTAAATGAGAGATTTTCACAAAATAGAAAAAGCGTCATCTCTAAATGAATGCATGTCACTTTTAGATTCACACACAAACTGAACTGGGTCAACGATTTCAGGCTCATCCCATCCTAATACAGGAGATTCCATTTGTGGTGCTGAACTTTGAAAGTTGTTCTCAAAGAACGTCAGATCTTTTCAGAAACAATGTTCATATCACTTTTCATTTTCCAGAGCAGTTTTGGGTGCTAGTTCTTTATTTAAGAGAAGTTAAACTCCACATGTATAATAGACAAACCTCAGAGACTTGAAACTTAACACATTGGAAAAAGAAACCTATACCCTATAAAACATGGCTAGAAAAGCAGTACTAAAGTGTGGTTTGTGTTTATATTACCTCTCTGTTCATTGGAGCCATGAACTTACTTTAACTGTAATGACCTCAAATGACCAGTGTTGAATTATCTTTCAGTAAGTATTTTAGGAAAACAAGTAGCCTAATACTGAAATTTTACAAACTTTTCTGCTATTCACAGGTCCAAACGAACGCATTCACCGTGATCTTTGATGAGCGCTACTCCATCCCCGTGGACCTGTCCATGCTGGAGGAGTACAACCTGCGTTTCGCCGCTTTTGGTATTGATGCCGATGAGAGAAACATCAGCGCCGGTGTCGCAGATCTCAAGCTGTCAGACCTGGACCTGACCATCAGAGCGTTCAACGCCTGGCTCTACCTTCAGGACGTCAATAAGGTGAGGTACAAGATGTAATGTGAGAGAACGCATTGTGGTGTTTGAGGACCCCTGTTGGACAAATAGCACAACTACAAACCATATGAAATATATTAAAGATATATAATGTAGTCAGATATTATCAAACTATTGAGACTAGTGGTTCGTAATGCCACTTTATACATATCCACACTAAATAACTTAAAGCTGCATATCAGAAAAACAAACTTCCAAAAGGTGTTTTGCACATTGTTCTTATTAAGTTTTACAAGGTATGTCACATTCAGTAATCATGCTTCATGTGACAACTTCATTGATGAGATGGATTTACCATTACAGGCTGTGGATGCAGTCGGCGAGATCCTGTTGTCTCTGAGTTATTTGCCGACTGCAGAGCGCCTCACGGTGGTGGTGGCGAAGTGTAAGAGCCTGGTGTGGACCAATAGCAAGAACACTGCAGGTCAGTGACATTCGTTTGTTTGCTTTTTGTGTGTTTGTCTTTTTCTTTTGGTCCAAATATGAAACACTCTGCCTGTCTCTGTGGGAACCTGTAATCCCTCTACAATTTATCAAAATCACAAATACAAAGGCAGGACAGAAATCTATTACCATAGTCTAAATGTGAACTCGTGTCCTCATATGGACCTGTTCTTCATGTTAAATGTCCAGATGAATGTCACACCAATGTTTTACTGTAAAAAGGTCAAAGAAACACTGTTATTATCATGCACAGAGGTGATAGTGTGAACAGGACAGTGCTTCTATTTCTTCACACTTTATTGCATGCTCTACAAACTGTGTGTGTGTGTATGCCTGCATGGATGTGGTTCTAATCTTATTCCTTTGCATTATCAGATCCGTTCGTCAAAGTTTATCTCCTGCAAGACGGGAGGAAGATCAGCAAGAAGAAGACGTCCACTAAAAGAGACGACACAAACCCCATCTTCAACGAGGCCATGATCTTCTCTGTGCCGTCCATAGTTCTGCAGGTGACACTTTAGACTGTGACCCACACTGGTCTCTGCATGATGAAATCACAAGATTATACTTCATTCAATCCATTCAGGTCAGGGTAAAAGATAAGAACTATAAAATGTGATAACAAAAAAGATTGAACAATAAACTAGTGTTGCCATCAGTAAATCCCAACACAACAGTACATGAGATTATAAAGCCAGAAGAGAACAGATGTGCAAAGCTGTGGACTATATGGAATTAAATGTTTTGCGTAGATATAACTTATAATACAAAGTCTTTCTCTGCCCAGTCTCCCTGCACGGTTTCCTTCTTGTTATAAAGGAAAATATTGGATTCAAGAGCCAATTTCTTGAACATTAAAAAAAAAAAAAAAGTCAATAAGATTTAATTGTTAATAGGGGATAAATTAGCAAATTGAGATACAATATAACTATGTAAACACAAAATGAGTATGGATATGGAAGTGTAAGCATGACTGACAGTCATTATGCTAACATGCTCGAAATTTATAATGCTGACAAGTTGATTTTTGTACGTGTAATGTTTTTGTTCTTTATCTTAGTTTAGCGTGTTCGCATTTTTGGTCATAATTGTTTGACTTTATCCTAAACGAAACATGTATTTTTGCATATCATTCCTGTTGACATTTCGCTACAAGACACACATTTAAACCGTATGGTGACTCAGCAGGATACTTGATGACGTTTACATTTCACAACATCTTATCAGTAGTCTTCAGAAATGAAACAAGCACATGCAACAGACAGATCCCAGGACTAAAATTGTCAAACCTAGATTAATGCTGCCCAGCAACTTAAAATACTAACAAATACACAACTGCGACCACATCATTACAATCTTACTGTCGTACAAAGGTTAAAAAAATTGCCTTTCAAATGAATAGATGAATCTATAACACCTCTTGAAAATCCAAACATGTAATTGCCCTGACACCTCTGGCTTTTTGCAAAATTAGCCAAACTGTAATTCAATTAAATGTAAGTAAAAAGATTAAAATGTCAAATAGAGTTAAAAATGACAAATGTTGTTTCTACACGTTTAATTTGACTAATCCCGTAGAGATTAGGATAAAGTCATGCTGTGAAGAAGAGGCTGAGTCATGCTCACACAGCAGGTTGTGTAACTGTGCTGTGCTGTTTGCAGGAGCTCTCCCTGAGGGTGACGGTAGCCGAGGCAACAGACGACGGCCGGGGTGAGAACCTGGGTCATGTTATCATTGGGCCCGAGGCCAGCGGCATGGGGATCACCCACTGGAACCAGATGCTCGCCACTCTGAGGAAACCTGTGTCTATGTGGCACCCTCTGCGCAGGATCTAGTCCTCTCCAACCGTATACACATATGACCTGAGTCAAGTAAAACGATCCCCTCTTCACCTAACTTTCAGCTCTGCTCCTTCTGTGGTGCCACGCTCTGATCTCATCGTAGACAAGTTAGAGTTTAGGGCTCACAGGACGAATCCTTTTTGTGTTCTGACAGTGAGATGCAAAATAAAGTAAACCTCTATCTTCATGTACGGAGAGGAAATAAAAAAAAAAGTGTTTGACATTAAAAATATATTTTCAATAATCTCTCAATTAATAGTTTCTTTAAATTTGATCTAAAGTCTTAAGTACTTTGCTTCCTTCTGGATTGGATGCTTGGATTATGGGCAGTGGTGGCATTTGGGAGGGAGCAGAGCATATCCCAAAATTCCGAGATTATACACTGAAATACATTTTCAAATTGTGTCTTTACCTTGTCCTCCTGTGTTGAGAACCAGGCTGAAATGAAAAATATATAGATAGCTTCCCCTTGAAAAGGTCTTGATCAGAAATGTCCCTTTGTACTTTGAGGTGAGTTTTAATTCCCAAAGAGGAGCCCACCCTTTGCAGGCTTGACCCCCCCCCCCCCCTCCCCCCTGCATGGTGCCTACTCTGGTTGTAGCCTGTTATAACTCTCTAAAGAACGACTGACTGGATGGAGGTTTGAAGTCACTTCTCTTTCAGGAAAACTCTTCTTCTTTTGTCTTTTCAAACAGGTCGTTGATTGCGCCTACTCGACTGATTTCCTAGCTCTGTTGGATCTGCTTGTGCGATTAATTAACAGCAGGATCGAGGAAGTGTAGAGGTTTTGATCCGTTCAGTATTTATTGTGCTTTTGAGAAAAAAAAAATCCAGGTACTCTTATCCAGGTGAATTAATTGTAATTTGTAGCAGTTGTTACAGGGTGGCCAAATCAGATGTAACTATCATATAAGCATTGTATAACGTTGTTCTATTTTTACCATGGTTAATGCAATACAAGTTGCATAAGCATATTTGACAGTGTAAATAATTCTTCTCCTTGCAAATTATGTTTTTCATATATTACACTTAATCAAACGTTAAATTCCAACTTCATTTATACGCTATATTACCACAATTCTTGTTGCTGATCGATGGATTATTACAAAAACACCTCTGGGAATTCAACATATATGTAAAGAATACAAACCCTTTCAAATGGGGTTACACTTATTTTATGTTAAAGGAAACACCTTGACATTCTGAATTGATCTATAGTTGTGTTTTACCAGGAGCTTGTCACATTTGTTCTTTTAAGGGTCCTGCAGACTTAATTATATTGAGTTTTTTTTGCGGTTTAAAGGAAGATAATGTGACAGGGGCCTCGTAAATATCAAAATGTCAAGGTGGCTTTTTCACCCGTCTGAGATATTCTCTGCAACACTGTGCAATAGTGCTGTTTTGTTGTAACTTTTGAATGTGAATTATCATGTGAAATACTTGCTCTAACTCTAAAAGCATCATCAGCCTTACGCATTGTTGTGGTTTTTATTTCAAGCCGAGCCTTTTTGACATCAGGTTCTTACTGCATTCGTCACCTCACTTTGAAAAGTCAATCTGAACAACAACACACCTGCTGTCACACTATAGACAATGTTTCCTACTGTGCCAAATAACAAAGCAATATTTTCATTTACAATCAACATCTGCGTTCAGTTCATCCAAGCTGTAGCTATACATTTCACCATGCATGAAGTTATTTAGCACTTATTTGTTATTTGTGAATGTGCCTCAAGAATACAGTGTATTGTGTGAATGCTGTTTGAAATAAAAGCAATTCAACAGTAACAGTCTGTGAAGAGAGTTTAACTTGTGACACAATGTGGCCAGTTCTTCATTCTGGATGCCAAAAAGAGGTAAAAGGGAACTGCATACAATTCTGTGAAACAGTACCAGAGAGATGAACAATTATTTAGATACTTAAAGGGAAAAAACAAACAACAAAATACAGTTGGTAAAAAGTGTGTAAATGATAAAAAAAAATGCCATATGCAGTAACTAAAAACGACTTATTTTGTGCCAGAAAAGGGATAAAAAGCTGCAGGCCAAATATTTTTTTTCTTTTCTTTATCAGCTACAGTTACTACAAAGTATGTAGTAACACATTTTACTTTCTTTATTGCTCGGTAATACGCATAGACTGTAAATATTACCGTAATACGTAAGCACAGCATTAAAGTCAGGCCCAGTCTTCTCCTCTCAACCAATAGGAAAAGAGGGGCACAGAAGGGGGCGGTGCCATTGAGCAAAGTCCAGGAAGACATTTCAAGGCTCTGGGATAAAACAGAAAACGCTTTCGTCCACAACATCCTCTGGAGAGTTTGTTTCTTTTTTTTTGTCGCCTGAACGTCTGCAAGTGCTAACCTGTCGAGATGGCTGACAGCAGGGATAAAGCTACCGACCAAATGAAGCTCTGGAAGGAGAGCAGAGGCGTGCAGGTCTGTGAACACGCTGCATTTTACATCAAGTGTGTTGTTGTTGTTGTTGTTGTTTTTTGCGCAGCTAAAATTGGGTGAGAGGTCGTTTAAGGTAACCACCAGCTAACGTTAATGATCAAACACCTAAAGCTAGGTAGCTTGTGGGACGAGCTATCATTGCATTTGAAGATGCATTTTTCATGTTGTGCCGTAAAGTGTTTGGAGATATTGTCGTCATTGTCTGCAGGTTTTATGTTAGCAGTCACATGCTAATGTTACATGCTAAAGTGCCCACTGTTGGGTAACCAACCAACCATTTCAGCCACACACTACACAGCTTTAATGCCCATAAAGAAACAGTGCAAAGATAAGAAGTAGGCCGTCGTCCAGAGGCTGCTGAACTTCAACCTGGTGAGTTATATAACCAGAGCAGAGCAAACAGCCTTCATCACCTTGGTTTTTTTTTTGTTTTTTTTTTACAAACCACGACCTCCATAATAGCTGCTCATTTTCATGTAAATGACACACAGCTGTGGACATACTGAAACGGGATTTGTCCAATTAGATAATGTTGTTCATTTGATGGACCCACTTTTGACCTCAACGCAGTTATCAGGACTGTGTCAGCTGCAGAAATATGTAGTTTAGTTTATTTGAATCAGGGACAGTGTTCAAAGTGACATCAGTCTCAGGAGAGAAGAGATACTTTGCACCACATTTAGTTAACAAGCTACTTTGCATCCGTTGTCCCTAGGCAGAAATGTGAATAAAGCTTTTATTTCAACATGACCAAAGTTACAGTTTACTCCTTTTTTTTAAAATGCAATTTGAATTGTTTCAGTGACAAGTTTAATTTCGGCGCGATGTGCAAACGAATCAGCAACTTGCGTCAAGATGGGTTTCAAAATATGGGCTACTTCTGGCTTCTCAGATGACATTGTTTCTGTGTATTCTTTTAGATAGGATTTGTTTTTTTTTGTTTCACACTAAACAAGATCTTTTAAGTTGCACCTTTTTGGGCCCCTAACCCTTTCAATGGTCAATCTGTACTTAGCCGCAGTTCAAAGTTAAGAAAGTGAAACATTTTGAAGCGCTTCATTTAAAAAGGTTGCGTAACAATGTGTTTGTCCCCATTTGGATTCCGTTGTCAACAGAGGCCGGACACACTGACCACAGGGGCGGGCCATCCTATCGGAGACAAGCTCAACGAGCAGACTGCAGGACCCAGGGGCCCTCTGCTGGTTCAGGATGTGGTCTTCACAGATGAGATGGCCCACTTTGACCGAGAACGAATCCCGGAGAGAGTGGTGCATGCCAAAGGGGCGGGTTAGTGTTGGGAAGTAATCAGTCATACCTTCTGTGTTGTCTGTATCAGGTTGATGTTACACAATGAAGCTGGGGCTGTTTTTTTTTCTTCTAAAAAAACAGAGAGTTGGGTATCCTTTGTGTCCTTGTTCAGCTTCCTCCTTCTGCAAACATTGTGTCTTTACTTGAACATGATCTGTAAACATAAACTAGAATACACAGTCAGTTTAGATTGTGTGATGCTGGTGTGTTAAATACTATTACTAGGTTTGTCTGTAGAACATGCACAGTCAGGTTACCATAGTTTAATACCAAAACAATACTTTTACAATAACGTACGTCAAGGACCAGTCGAAGCTAATAATGTGAAATGTTTCATTGTGCAAATGTACAAGACCTGTACATGTTGTGTTCATACATAGGTTTGGTTACAGTGCATGAACTACTTTTAGCTAGCTATATGAAAATGCTAGCATGCACCATAATGCAATTGAGTCATAATTTATTGCAATTTTTGGATTTTTCCAAATATTTTGCTTTGTAGTTCATTTACAATCTAGCGATCAATTTTTGAGACAAACATCAATTTAATTGAGGGTCCACTTTTAAGCTTTCATTCAACTATAAACACATGACATAGTTAAGATTATTTCCAAGTTAATATGATTAGAGGGAATATCGTAGTTATTTTCATCATAATATTCAACATTTATAGCATTTAAAACAGTCTTTGTTAAATAATAGCGCACTGACATCAAAAGTAAATGTAACTGAAGGTTTCTGGATTATCTTCAGACGGACGTTAATCTCTGCGAGCTTTTCAGATCAAGGCCTGAGACTTTGGATAGATATTAAACAATTCATGTTGGGTTTTGTTCTGTCTGGAAAGAGCTGCGTTCTTTGAAGTGCATAGTGAAATACCAATGAACCAGACTAAGCAGTCATCTACAAATCGTTTGTGCTAGGCATGTTTGAGCTTGTATGTGAACTAAACAAAGCCCTCTCTTATTGTTCTTTCCTGATAACACAGGGGCGTTTGGCTACTTTGAGGTGACTCATGACATCAGTCGCTACACCAAGGCTAAAGTGTTTGAACATGTTGGCAAGACAACACCTATTGCAATCCGCTTCTCCACTGTGGGTAAGATTAACTTTGTAAAATGTCAAGTAACAGCAGGGCTCTTTACAGATTCCCCATTGAAATAGTGAAAATATATTTGAGGGACGATGGGATGAAATTGTTTTTTTTCTCCGTTCTCCAACATCCATTTCTATTGTCACGTTACCTGATCCTCAAGTCTGCTGGAAACAAAGATCCGCCTCTATAATGATAGAGATAAAAATAATCCAGACATTTTGAATTGTGGTATTTCTAAAAGCTGTGATTTGCAAACATGCAAATCGTTGGTTTCTTATCCTTTTATAAGCATGCATATATTATTTGTGAATGAAAAAAAAATCTCCTTTCATGTATGTG